CGTTGCATCTCCCTAGCTCACTTCCTTTGCAGTCATAGTCAATGCTGTTCCGTAATCCTCTCCCAACCAGGGTGTGTCTGAATTGATATCACGTTTAGCTGACCCGTTATACTTCGTGGTGACAGACGGAAGTAGTCGGTTAGATCAAGGGTCACGCTACTCGGTCATCAATGGTGAGGGGTCAAATACTTTTCTGACGCCTTTAGCAGATATATTCAAATGTATTCCTCATTACAAGAAAGAAATGGTGTGAGGGAAGTTTTTGTCATGTAGCATAACAACAATGTTATTAATTAAAGCTGTTAAGATATGACTAAACTTTGCCATTGGTTATTCAAGGAACCCCGCACAGTAAGGGGTATGAGAAAAACGATATATGGTAAATTGATGTAGAATGTGTCATCAAAAGAAGCCCTTATGTATTATGTGAGCATGAATATAGACTGAAAATAAAGTCTACTGAAGTTTATATCTTATTTGACTCGGTTTGAATTCACAACAATAAATTAGCAGGCTCCTTCAGAAGATCACCCTCTCCCTCTTTTTTTTTTCTTCTCGGATTTCGTTAATTTATCAATATCTTTCATATATTACCCCATGAATACAAATTACATGAGTAATACAGTTTTTCTTTTTATTTACATGCCGACGTCTTCCAGTGATGTAGATATGCACAGGAGTCATACTTACATTTTTACTGGGTCTTCATCCTTCCCTTGTGAGAAGTCTGTCTATCTTTTGGACAGCCCGGAAGTACTACTTCATGGTTTAGCCATGTAGCATTTACCAATATCTGCCATAATTTTATCATGATGAATTCATCCAAATATGAATTGTATTTGGTGACATTGAAACTCCGTAAAATCGAAAGAAAAAGCGACTTGTAGGGAATACTTTCAAATTGATATTAATTTTAGTCTTAAAGTTGGATCTTATTTCTCTCCTCTTTCTGGACAATTTTCTACCAAAATCGCATCTATACAGATTGCTTGTTACAGTCATCTCTAAAAAGTGTTCCTCAATTGTTCTCGGAAAAATTATACTGATAATAATAATTTCATAGTTTAAAAATATTTTCCCCAATTAATTATCCTTGTTCTTTTGTCAAACAATGCAACCTGAATACAAAGTAATTCATATTTTTAGCCACCATTGTTGGTGGTTGTCAATTGACAGGATAATGCATTCTTATTTATACATTTTTCATCCCACATTCCTTCCTTGGCATCATTATTTTTAACCTGGATCGTGGAAAATTCTTCTTACTTTCTTCACATTTTAAGTGTCCATCAATTGCCCTATTAATATAAGTTGACGTTTTTTCAATTGGAATACTGAGGTTAAGATATCTTTCCCCTCTCCAGACCCCCTTTAAAGTTTAAGGCTGTTTCCCTCTCCCCCATCGTTCCTTGAATCTATTGTTGCGGTTATCCATTGTTCTATCAATGGAACTTGACATTTTTATTAGCAATTCTAGCAAGTTTGCGATGTCCTTTTCAACGCCAGAACTACCCTATAGGATATTTTTCTTCTCCGGAACTTTTTTTCGCCGGGTATTTAAATGCAAATTATACCGACTTTAGTTTTTACTTGATTATGTTTCGAGTATCATCATAAAAATACTTATACGCTAGCTAGTTGCAGTACATTTTCAACTTCTTTGCTCTCACTCCCTTTCACCGTTCTTCTGCTATTATTATTTTTTGTTTGTATATAAGGCCCAAAACAAGCATTATATGCTTTAAGGGTATCGTTTAACAATGTTAAATCTGTGATGCATGGCCCTACGTTTAATCAGTGTCTGTGATATGGTGTAATATTGAAGCCCTCAACAAATTGCGCTTTAAAATGATCATGAAGTGTCTCACAAAAGTAAACAAATCTTTGAGTGACTGGTTTAATACCATACTCATTTTCCCAATAGACTGTAGTGTTATAAGAACCGTTAAGGCAAACGAATTTTTAAATGTCAATATCCTATCATAAATTTCTTGATAATCAGACAGGCGATCGGCTTGTAAAAGTCATAGGATTCCTGACCTATAGTTTTATAATTATGATTGCAGCATGAGCTAAATCCAGGATTTTGTTTCAGAATGTGAGGCAATGTTACCAATTCACTTTGAGGGAGTACGCCGTCTTCCCTGTATTAAAACTGTTCAATTGCTAAATGTTAAATCACTTATGTCATTATGTATGTATACATTTATAAATTAGGTTAATATGGAAAAAAAAGTATGTAAGAAAATGGAAGTTACTTTAAACTGAATTTATTGTGTCTTGGTGTAGGAGAAATCTATTTTTCTATCCCTAAATCTTCTGGTTTCCTGTTAGAGGTCACCGGCACACAGCTGCTTGTCTCAACTCTCAATCAAGGGCATTTCCCTCGTTCCCATAGCAACATGTGTCAGACATCCTTAGGTCTTGCTTCTAAGGAACCCCCGTTTTTCCTCTCAAACCAATGGGGGATATTAAAACAAAAGTATTCTTAAAATTATTAATTGTTTATGATATGACGTAGTTGTTATTATATTTCCGAGTGTGTGAATGAAGGAAACTCAACAGGCGTCTTCGATGATTCGGTTATGATGGTAATTTCCAATTTTTAAGTAGTAATTGAGTTGTAAAATGACAGACAATTATCTTCTTTAGAGAATTATTGAATTTGAAAAAGGGGAACCCGCAAAAGCTTAAGCGTGCATGCTATGGGAATTGACAGAAATATGGGAGGGAGCAAAATCTCATTCTGACATTTTTATGAACGAGGCCCCTTTTTTATTTGGATTTTATTTTTATTTTTTTATGTGACCTTTATGAACATGCAGGTCCTATTTCCAAATTATTTTCCAGTGAAATAACTTTCCGTTTCGAAGATGCAAACAAAAATGTATTTTGGCTCTCTTTCTTAGATTCTCGGTCCTATTTTAGACGGCTCATAATAATAGTATTTATTAAACTATGCTACAAATTAGTAAAGGCAGATTCTTTATTTAAGCATTAACGGATTTTTATTTTGTCCAGCAAAACAGGTTATACAACTTTTATTAAAGAGCCAAATAAAACTCTTCAGCAGACCGTTATGACTAGCCTTTAATCTGGTTTGCTAGGCACATTAAAGATGTAGCAGGTTCATCAAAGAACCAAATAAAAAAAGACCTTTCAGTGAGACGTTTTTGAACGTTTTTCTATTAGGTTTTGCACTTTCAATCCTTATCTAGGTTGCAAAAGTCACATGAACAATGTGGATGGATAGGATAACGTAGGCCATTAAAACAGATTCATTTCTTAATTATCAATGTGACCCATTTAGATGTAGTTCCTTATCTAGGTAGAAAAAGTCACATTAGAAATTAAGATGGACATGATGATGTAGGCCACCAACTTAATACCAATGTGACCCATTTAGATGTAGAGGCTGCTGCATGCACTTAAGGGTAAACGATTTCTCTACAGACATGATTTATACCTCCGACCTCAGTCACACCGCTAGACCGACGTCACATCGACCTATTTGGGGGGCATTGTGTGCAATGTAAATTGTTGTTTGGTCTTTTGTTGGTCTGGTGTCGGTCTCGTTAGTGTAGCTAAGGTGTTATAGTTGTCGTGGTCGAGTGGATATGTCTCCGGACTTTGGATCACAAGGTCTGAGGTTCGAGTCCCGCCGCGGCACTAATGACCTATGGCAAGACAGTGATCTTCATTTGCCACACTCGACCCAGGTGGCGTAAATGGGTACTTCGTAGGAGTATTCTTTGAAATGCACTGTGCGCTGATAACGGCTGCCGGAGCTAAAGCTAGGGTAATACTTTCCAAAGCTCTTTGGAAGCGCATAGGGACGTTATAACAATGTGATATGCGCTGTATAAGAACCGAATATTAGTATTATTAGTCACAACGCCATAAAAGTTTACCGACATCCAAATGAAATATATGGGTTGTTTTTGTTTACAACACACGCGTTTCCATGATAATGTCGATGAACTTGTAGGTATAACAGTTTCGTGAAATGCTGCCCTGGTGTCGTTGTTGTTGGTGTAACTGGGATATCAACCCTTTGAGGAGCTTTTATTACTAAGGTACTTCAAGCTGACTCTTGCAATTCAACCGTCAACATTGATATATTTCGTCTGTCAAACTTAGCGTAGTCATCGCTACAGTCAATATCCATTATATAACAGTAAAATAAATAGGGGCCTCTTTCGTTCAAGTCACAGCTACGATGCGTTTTTAAGAGTGCTAGAATACTTAGTCATGCTTTTGAGGAACAATGCATAATATTCTGAATATGCATTCAACAGCTGTTTATGAAGGGGTTTGATGTTTTTCTTGTCTCGCATCTATTTCTGCGCGTCTGCATATTGAAAGCCAGATTTCCTCTCCACCGATATTACTGTATGCGGCTATTGGCGTGTCATTATTTCCAAAACAAAACACGTTCTCATTTCGATCAGTTCAATTTCCATACATTCTATGTTTGTATTATTCATTGCTTTTTCTAAATTACGATACACAAATCAATTGGCTTACCGTTCAATTCAATGAATATGTTTTAATGATACCAACAACACTTGTATGTAAGCAATTTTGAACAGCTCAATACAATATGAGCCATACGAAAGACAATTTTATTGTTTAGTTATGAGAAATATGACACACACTTCAGACTTAGAGATAGTTATGTCACCGGATGTCAGGTGATTGGTCAGGCATTTCGTGAAGCTCCAAAGTAGTTCCCTCTCATAGAGATTGTACGTGGGAGGGCACTATTTTTAGCTCTATGGTTTAACCTACGACCCCGCTCGCGTACGCCTTGATGCGCGTGTCACAACTATCTCTCCCAACACACTATGGGTTTGAGTACATGCCCATATTATGCGACCTTCAGAAGACAATTACTCATAAGTGTTAGATTTATAAACTTAGTAAAAGAAAAAAGATAATGGGGACTATATTTGTGAAGACGCACGAGAAACTCCAATATCGTTCATATAATAAACTTTATGTAAGGAGGTCGTTGGTGGCGGGCTTTAGAACCGTGACCTTCACCCCGTTCCCACCCCGCTTATAGGTAAGCAAGGCTTAGTTTTTATGTGTGTTTAAATTGTTATATTTGATAATATTGTTACTATGTTTTGTTCATATCCTGGTTTAAACGAATTAGTATTATTATAAGGCTTACAAATATGTTCAAAGAACATGATATTTGTTAACAGAAAGGTGTAATTTAAGGCGATATTGTTGTTACGTAATGCTCAGAGGGTGTGACTTCTTAATGTACAAGTAGATTACACGTAGAGGAAATGGATGCGTAGGCTATGCCTGTACGGGTGGAATGCATTTGTGTGTACGGTCAATTGGGCCTTGGAGTGTGACTATTGTAGTCGGGAACTTGGGCGCTAATGACTATGTGTTAGGTTTTGGTGTAGAGAAACCTGATTAACGAAGAATGATGATCTTTTAAGTTTGATTAATTATGTTAGGAATTTGTATTTGATCCAGCTTATACACTTTGGGCATTTGCATTGTCTTAAATAAGTTAAAGTTATTGTTATTAACGATTCAAATGTTTTAGTGTAGTGAACACTGTTTACCTTTTGTGGTCATAATGCTGAAAGATGTGTCGTTGTTTATTCTTGTAATTGATAACTGTTTATCATTACTTGACCCCGTTCCCACCCCGCTTATAGCGGTGTGTCCTTTACAGAATAAAGAGCACCAACTCTACTCGTCAGGCTGCCATTGTCATCTGTATTGTTCGAGGTCTACCCCCACTCATTCCGGCTACCCGTCACTATTTATCACCCCCTTACAACTGGCGACGAGGATGGGATATCGTCGACGACGCTACGCTATTATTCTGAAGACAAACATGATCCAATGTAAGATTGAAAAATGTAAATGTCATGTTTTTAAATAAATAATTGTATGTTCCAATGTAAGACTGAACAATGTCAATGTCATGTTTTTACATAAATAACTGCTTTCTAGATGTATTTTCTAGATGTTATTAGTACTGTACTCGATCCTAGGTATCGATTAGTTTTTGCCTTACTCATTTGTAAATGCTTGAGATATTAGTTGTTTAGTAACTATTTTGATATATCTACTACTGAACTCGATCCTAGGTATCGATTAGTTTCTGCCCTAATCATTTGTAAATGCTTGAGATATTAGTTGTTTAGTAACTATTCTGATATATCTACTAATCTCATATTGCTAAAATGGGTTTGTATGTAAGAATCGGGGATGACGGGAAATCCTTCAAATTCCCCCTTGTAGAAGAGGGGGGCCCCCTATCACTTGAAGCATTACAGTCAAGATATCCCTCTGCCAAAGGTTTGGTTTATAAAGATGTTGGAGAAGAAGAGGTGATACTGCCCGCAGTTGGCGGGTTCATCCGGCCCCTTGGGCAGTGGATAGTGACATTATATCACCCTCTCTTCGCAGAAGAGAAAACTGGTGGTGACGAGACGGTTCAAAGCTTGAAAGAGCTTCTATTGAGGCCCCCGCCTCAACTTATGTTGGCGCCGGAGAAAAGATTACCAACTTTCGATGGGGCAGGGGATGTGCAAGAGTTTGTGACGGCAATTGAGGATGCATTCAAACATTACAATGTTCCTTCGACGCGACAAGCCACCTTTCTTTTAGAGTATCTTAGAGGAGGGCCGAAGGACGAGGCCAAGGCCATTATCAAAGGTGGTGGCAATGTCGAGGAGATGGTCGACTTCCTCAAGTCATCATACGCAGAAGTGATACCTGTAGGTGAACTGCAACGCCGATTTCTTGAACGGAGGCAGGGGACAAGAGAATCTGTTCGTGAATATGCTGTCGACCTAGAAAGGAAGTTCCTGAGCTTGACATCAAGAAGCCCCTACCTGTATGCAAAACCTGACGCTTTGATTGCAGAACAATTCGTTGAGGGCCTTGAGGACACATTCTTGCGCAACACCTTAAGAGATATGTATGAGGTGAAAGACGAGATGACCTTTAGGGAACTGCGAGAGCTCGCAATAAAACGCGAGCGCAGAGAGGAAGCACGACCAAGAGCAGGAGCTTCTAGTGCAGCACATCTGTCTTCGATTAAAGGTCAATCCACATCCCTGGACAATGGAGTCCTTGAAGCAGTAAGGGCCATGACTAATGAAGTAATAGGGGCAGTAAGGGAGATGATGCAGTTTAATCGCCCTCGGGGCAGCTTGCAGGTGAAACCAACCTCTTCGGGGCCTACGCAGAGGGGTCCTTGCTTTAATTGTGGTGCCTTTGGACACTTCGCAAGAGAGTGCCCCCAACAGAAACGCAGGAGGAGCACCAACTCAATGTATCCTGAAAGTGCTCCTCCGTTGAGGAATGAAGCAAGTCCATATCCACCCGGCAATTATAGAGAAGAGCGTCCTTTATACCCAATAGGACCTTTAATGTCTGGGCCGTACATGGTAGAAGGTCAGTATCCCACTTATCCAGAACAACAGATTCCTCTTCAGACCTCTCTCAGATCTAATCAAATGGAAGGACCACTTCCTGGGCCATCGGAGAGAGGTGCCCCTCCGCATATGGGACCACCTAATCGAATGGAAGGATCGCTTCCTGGGCCAGGGATGAAAGGTGCTCCTCCGCCTACGGGACCACCCCGCAGCCAAGGCCCCAGCTTTGCATCTGGAGGGGGGCAAGATAATAGGCAGTGGAAACAGGAACACGGCAAAGTGGTTGGCAATGTTTCCAAAGTGAGTGCAACGGCAGTGGACGGTGAGGAAAGAGGATTCCTATCCAGGGCGGTTGGAGAGTGCTATTCAGTGGAAGTGGAATTCGGTACGGTTCAGGTTCCCTGTCTTCTTGATCCAGGATCACAAGTGACAACGGTAGGAGAATCCTTCTTCAACCAACACCTCAGGCCAGCAGGCTTTACGTTGAGGGATATCCCTTCTTCCTTCACATTGGTCTCTGCTGGTTATCAGGCCATCCCATATGTAGGATATTTTGATACTGATGTATCTGCTCTCGGACATTGCATGTCTTCAAGAATAGTACTTGTGCTTGCCGAAGTAGAGGCCAAGCGAAGGGGCCAGAGCCTAATGGGAATACTAGGGATGAATGTTCTACATGAATGCTGGAACCAATTGATAAGGGGCGAGAAAGATCATTTCTTGACAAGAATGCCGTGGCCAACCACGGATACAGCTTGGCAAAAGGCCCTTCAGGCCGTCGACGAACAGATGCAGTTGACTCAGAAGGAGGGTGTTATCGGTAAAGCTTTTGTGAAGCCCGAGTCATGCTTCGTAATATCAGCTCGTCAAGCAGTGGTGCTTGAAGTTCAGAGTCCAACAGGGCCTCGCAAAGAACCATATGAACTCCTTCTAGAAGCTGAGCGAAATGATACCATACCATCTGGTTTGACCATCCAGTCTTGTATTGTGCGTGTTGAGGAGGGGAAATTTCCGGTCATGGTGTCCAATGATAATGAGGAGGATATAGTGATTCCCAAGAAGCTCCAGATAGGTACTTTGTATAATGCCACTGTAGTAGGAGGAACAGAGCCGGGGACAGATCCACCCGGAGGAACTGGAGCTGCACCAGTACATGTTGATGTTGATTGGTCTTCACTCGGTAAAAGACAGTCCCAGGCGCTGGAGGACCTCTTAGAGAGACATCGTGAGGTGTTTTCAGCACATGACCAGGATTTTGGTTATACTGACAAGGTAATTCATCGGATCGAGACCGGGGATGCCGTCCCATTCAAAGAGAGACATAGGCCCCTTCCTCCGACTCAGTACCAGGCGGTACGAGATCATATCCATGACCTGATACATAAGGGAGTTGTTCGGGAGAGTCAGAGTCCATGGGCCTCGCCCGTAGTGATAGTCAGAAAGAAAGACTCAAGCATCAGGTTGTGTGTGGATTATCGTCACTTGAATTGCCTTACACGTCGAGATTCCTTCCCACTCCCCAGGATAGAGGAATCACTCCAAGCTTTAGGGGGAGCCCAGTTCTTCACAGTGCTGGACTTGACCAGTGGCTATTATCAGGTAGCTATGCACTCGGGTGATATTGAAAAGACTGCATTTTCCGTGCCCTTCGGACTCTTTGAGTACACACGACTCCCATTTGGGTTGACGAATGCCCCTGCGACCTTTCAGAGACTCATGCAAAGATGTCTTGGAGACATGTGCTATACAAGTGTACTACTATACATAGATGACATAATTGTATTCTCCCCTGACTTTGATACTCACCTACAGAAGCTTGATGAAGTATTCTCTAGATTGAAGAGCTACGGGTTGAAACTGAAGCCTTCGAAATGCCACATCCTGCAGAAAGAAGTCCAGTATCTTGGGCATAGAGTGTCATCAGCCGGAGTAGCAGTTGACCCAGAGAAGGTTTCCACAGTAAAGGAATGGCGGGAACCAGAGACTGTCAAAGAGGTTAGAGCGTTCTTAGGGTTCACTGGGTTTTTTAGGAGATTCATGGAAGGATATGCCACCATGGCCGGCCCTCTGTTCAATCTACTCAAGGCTGACCCAGATAGAAAGGGGAATGGCAGGAAGAGAGCAGTTCCTGGGTCTAAGAAGGTAGTATTGGATGAAGAAGCTAGAACAGCTTTCCGAAAGCTGATAGAGTGTCTCACAAATGCACCTATTCTAGCATATGCAGACTTCACAAAAACCTTTCAGGTAGAGACAGATGCTAGTGCAACAGGACTTGGGGCCATACTCACTCAATCTGATGAGACCGGTAACCATCATGTGATAGCCTACGCCTCCAGGACTCTACGGCCTGCAGAGCGTAGTGGACGGTACAGTGCCTTTAAACTCGAGCTTCTTGCGATAAAGTGGGCTGTAACAGAGGCCTTCAGAGACTATCTCCTCAGCCAGCCATGTAGCATTGTGACTGACCACCAACCACTTCTGTTTCTGGATAAGGCTAACTTGGGAAACACTGAACTGAGATGGGTGCAGAGGCTGAGCTCCTTTGACTATGAGATACAATACCGACCAGGGAAACACAACCAAGCACCGGATGTGTTATCTCGCCGAGACAACCCTACTGCTGGTCTTGGCCCTGATGTCGTGACTAGCAGCACCATACAGGCCACCTTTGACCTGCATTCTCCCGGAGCTGAGATCCCCATTGCCCTAAGCAGTCAGATTGGTGTGTGTCGCCTGGGTGGAACAAGTTGCCTACCTGGATATACCAATGAGATGTTGAAGAGGTACCAAGAAAGCGACAGTGACGTGAGACAAGTTAGGGAGTTAGTAGATAGAGGCACAAGACCAACACGTGAAGAAAGAGGTCGCTGTTCAACCTTAGCATTACTCATCCTCCGGAGCTGGAAGAGGCTTAGCATGAAGGATGGAGTTCTTGTTCGGGAAGTCCAATCCACGATAGATGGACAAAAACACTTGCAGGTAGTCATCCCCACAGATCTGCAAGAGGAGGTCCTTATCAGGTTTCATGACGAGGCAGGACACTTTGGAGCCAGACGTGTGTATAAACTGCTGGTAGACAGGTATTTCTGGCATGGTATGGAGGTGTCAGTCAAGAACTGGTGTCAGAAGTGTCGGCGCTGCGCCACAAGTAAACCACCTATCCACCAGCCTCGTCCTCCGTTCTCATCGATCGAGGCCACTGCTCCAATGGAAATAGTTGCCATGGATTTCACCGTTCTAGAAGCGTCGGATGATGGATACGAGAACTTGCTCATCTTTACTGATGTTTTCACTAAGTATGCCTGGGCTGTCACAACTCATGACCAACGTGCCTCAACAGTGGCCAAGGCTTTGGTAAAACATGTAATTACTCCTTATGGGTGTCCGCTGAGAATCCATTCCGATCAAGGCCAGTGTTTTGAGGCCAAGCTCATTGCAGAACTTTGTCAGATGTATGGTATTCGACGTAGCCACACCACTCCTTATCACCCTGCTGGAAATGGGCAGTGTGAACGCATGAATAGGACCCTGCATAACATGCTAGCCTCCCTGCCACCCAAAAAGAAGTGTAAGTGGACTTACTACCTCCCTTCCCTGGTGTTTGCTTACAATAACACCATTCATTCTAGTACAGGTGTCGAGCCATTCTTTCTCATGTTCGGCAGGAATGCGAGATTTCCACAAAGCTTCGTTCAAAGTGGGGAAGGAGCTCAGAGAGGCAAGAAGGGAGTCAAGTCATATATTTCAGAGCACCAGTCACAGTTGCGAATGGCTAGAGACATTGCAACGAAGAACGCTAAGGCTGCGGTGGAGGCACGTAAAGCACTCCAGGCCCGGAAGGTTTTTGAGAAGCCTCTTGGAGTAGGCCAGTATGTTCTTGTCCGACGACATGGATTCAGGGGCCGATCAAAGATAGCCGATTACTGGGAGGAAGAACCTTTTATGGTGGTAAAGCGGCCCTTTCCAGATCGCCCAGTCTACGTAGTAAGGAGCCATTTGGGCAAGGAGAAGGTCTTACACAGGACACAGTTGAAACACTGCCCCTGGCTACCAGGGGGAGATGTAGACAAACAGTTAACAGAAGATGAAACTGAATCAGAAAGCCGAACACCTGTTGGTTATGTCCTACGCTACCGCCAACGTCCAGTTCAAACTGAATCTTCCAGGAGCCTTTCGGGAGGCACTAGTAGCTCTGGGGATTCCTCCTCTGGACCCCCGGGTAATGAAGATGAAGGCTCTTGTGAGTCTGAAGTCGGCGTCTCTCATGTCGCTAGTCCTTGTCCCAGTGACAATGGGAGTGAATTGGAAAATGTACCAGTGGTGGCACCGACCGCCAATCCTTTGTCTCCAAAGGAACAACGGCTGGAGCAAAGGAGGTACCCTAGAAGAGCTACGCGTGGTGTACCACCCCAGAGGTATACAAACTACACTTAGAGGAGATTAATTTGACCAGGCATCGATCGTATTGAATTTTTCAACCTAAATGACGAGGAAAAGGAATGTTGTTTATTCATTTTTATTCAAGATAACATAATAATAAAGATGTGACATAAAACCCAGGACAGAGATTTGTATTACATTAGATGCATCTCATGCATTACAATATACAATAACAAAACGGAAAAGAGAACATCATAATGTCAGTGTTTTCAATGAAAACATTAATAATTCCTAACAAAATAACAAAAACAAAAATAATAATTATTTTCTTAGTTAGCAATGCCTCATAATACATTTACATACCGTGGTCATATCTATCAATCTTTTCTTAATGAGTAATCAACCACAGGAACCTATCTCCATAGAGAGAGAGAGAGGGTTGAAGAGAGAAAGAGAGAGAGAAAGGGAGAGAGAAAGGGAGAGAGAAAGAGAGAGAGGGAGAGAAAGAGGTCTCGCTATTGCAAGTCGTACAAGGTATTTAATGTTGTGATTGCCAGGTGCGTTCCGACCGGCTGTAAAAATTAACATACGACCTAAACAGTACGGTTTTCAAGATTTTATTTCTCAGTTGTGGATACCTTACTTTGCATTTACATGTTTTCAACATATCTATAAGTCTTTTCTTGTTGTCAGGAGTTATCAAACCTCGGGAACCTATCTCTACACACAGTAATTTGGGAGTCCAGCCGGCTTCTGAGATATCATGTATTAGTCCGGCGTACCTGTCAAGCTTTTTTTGGTGGACCTGTTGAATGTTGGTTTCAAATGGAATTGTCAACTCAAATACTAGTATTTCCTTTTTTCTAACATTAATGAATTTGGTGTGCAACCTGGATTGTAGATGACTTTTTGGTCCAGTTTTATTCTCTGGCCATCTGTTGATCTAGGGCATGAACTACCATTTCGTCGCCTTTAACTTTAGATCTATTGTAGGCAAGGCAATGACATGGTTGGTAGAGTTCAGAGATAGTGGGAATATTAAGCCCCCTTGGGGCATGAACTACAGCAATATTGGCACCACACCGAGGGATGCCCATCCACTTTTTAATGTATTTGTCTAGAAGTGTATCTAGTTGTTCAAGGTGAGTTGCATGAAGGTCATGTACAGTTAACATATATCTCATAGAGGAGAGAGCATAATCATTAAGGATTTTTAGCTTATACTCGTTTTTTATGTTTACACTATTTATATTTGTGAGGGTACTATCAACCTTATCACGGATGAAATCATATGTTTTTGAAGTTTTCATCTTGAAAGTAATGTGAGATCCTAGAAATTTAATAGGATTATTTTGTACAGATGCAATTTGTTCCCTAGCTAAGGAAAAATCAATAACTGTTGGTTTACCGTCTGAAATTGATAAGGAACGACACTTCTTAGCTTTGACTGCTAAGCCCATATTACTGAGAAGTTTATTTACTTCTTGAACAAGTTTTTGATGATATCTTTTATTTTCAGTTAATGAGGAAAAGGAGATACCTAATGCCTAGATTATTCATAATATATTGTATTATATTGTATTGTAGTATGGTATTATAATATGTTTTGGTGATTATGTTTGTGTTCGGTTTCGTCTCAACACACTCATTTTGTATACTTAAGACACGAGTGAAAGTCCTGAGTATGGACAAGACCTTTAATTGTGACTTATATAAACAACCAAAAGTATACCTATATATGTATGTATTTTTCGAAAGGTAACATGATAATTTGTTTTTGCATATTATAAAGATGTTGTTTCCATCTTTATTTGACCTCCCCCCCCCCCCCAAAAAAAAAAGGAGGGCGGGAAGAGGTAGGCTTAATCTGAATATATTTCTGATTTATCCTTTATTATTTTAGAAGTACCGGTAACTTTTGCAAGACTAGTGAATTTGACAGTAGGAGCTATGACTGATGTATCATTTACGTATCGTATACCTTTGCCAGACTGTAGTGATTTTGACAGTATGAGCTCTTTTTCGACTACCGGTAATGTGTCATGCAAGTGTCGTATACAGATTTGATATCCATTTAATGCAAGCTGCTAAACAATTTCAAGTTAAATGTTGTGACAAGGGAGGCATATATTTTATGTATGTATTACTTGTCTTTCTTTGTTATTGTTGTTACCTAGAATAAGTCGAATGCTATTATGATGTATCATTTCCTTGCTTTGATTAGAAGACTATCATACGGAGTCTCTCCCATTCTTAGCCGATTCATATTTCTATATTTTGTTATGACAAAAAAAAAAAAAAAAAAAAAAAAAAAAAGAAGAAGGAAAAAAGTTGGTGATAAAGAAATGAAACGAAACAAGCAACCATGCCAATTAGGACGATATCTATTTTATAAAGTACCTCCCAGATTGTTTGAGGTAGTATAGCAATGTATGTTCTATGGAGATTGTTTCTATTAATTGATTTTATAGATATTGTTAATAATACATGTAATTGATGTTGAGAAATGGTTTTTGTTGCATTATGAGTCATCAAGGGACGATGACTATTTAAAGTGGGGAAGGATGTAAGGAGGTCGTTGGTGGCGGGCTTTAGAACCGTGACCTTCACCCCGTTCCCACCCCGCTTATAGGTAAGCAAGGCTTAGTTTTTATGTGTGTTTAAATTGTTATATTTGATAATATTGTTACTATGTTTTGTTCATATCCTGGTTTAAACGAATTAGTATTATTATAAGGCTTACAAATATGTTCAAAGAACATGATATTTGTTAACAGAAAGGTGTAATTTAAGGCGATATTGTTGTTACGTAATGCTCAGAGGGTGTGACTTCTTAATGTACAAGTAGATTACACGTAGAGGAAATGGATGCGTAGGCTATGCCTGTACGGGTGGAATGCATTTGTGTGTACGGTCAATTGGGCCTTGGAGTGTGACTATTGTAGTCGGGAACTTGGGCGCTAATGACTATGTGTTAGGTTTTGGTGTAGAGAAACCTGATTAACGAAGAATGATGATCTTTTAAGTTTGATTAATTATGTTAGGAATTTGTATTTGATCCAGCTTATACACTTTGGGCATTTGCATTGTCTTAAATAAGTTAAAGTTATTGTTATTAACGATTCAAATGTTTTAGTGTAGTGAACACTGTTTACCTTTTGTGGTCATAATGCTGAAAGATGTGTCGTTGTTTATTCTTGTAATTGATAACTGTTTATCATTACTTGACCCCGTTCCCACCCCGCTTATAGCGGTGTGTCCTTTACAGAATAAAGAGCACCAACTCTACTCGTCAGGCTGCCATTGTCATCTGTATTGTTCGAGGTCTACCCCCACTCATTCCGGCTACCCGTCACTATTTATCACCCCCTTACATTTATATGGATTGTTTCTTTTTCATGATACCATATAACGGTCACTATTAATAATGATCACGTGTTTTATAATATTATGGATTGATACTGCAGGATGCATTTTCAAATGTTGCATAGTCACTTTTGACATACAAATGTACTGCCAAACGATTTTTAAATAGCTAAAACGAGCGAGGGAAAGATTATATCTTGCGATCAAGCCTGGAACTTATTTAAACTTGGCAATCCAAAAGCACTTTCCTTAGGGTAATCTGTGATTTCGTTTCGACCATAAACATTTTTTAAATCAAACCACACTAACACTACATTCACGATTTAGGTGATGAACTGCTCGTGCGAGATGTCAAAGTTTCAAACACACCCTAGGCCTATACCTCGCACTTCAGGCTCAAAACATTTACTTTATTCAAACTGTAAAACGAATGACTTAAGAGCTCCTTATCTCACTTGCTCAGAATTCCCATCCGACAAATGCACAGAATCGTGTGAATAGTAATGATGACATGGTGATAATCCTCTAGACTCGAGGGGAAACCAATGTCTGCATAAAAGTGTGTCATTCCATGTTAGAACGAAGCTTATGCATCCATCAGCATTAATCGGGTCAGGACTAGATTTAAATTAAAAAAACGAATTTTATTTTAGTCTGTCGTGAGTTTTATAACTAAAATACGTCAGTGAGCACTATGGAACTTAATAAGTAGCCCTATGTAGTCAATACGATTTAATCACCGTTACATCGAAGACATATACGAAATATTGATATTATCTTGCATCTGACACAACTAGCTCATTTTGTTGCTGCTGCTAACTAATTTTGATACTATTAATACCACTACTTCTAAGTTCTACGACTATTAGTGTTGCTGCTCAGTGCCGCTACTACTTTATTGCCTACTACTGCTGCAACCACTACAATTGATAACACTACTACTACTACTACTACTAATACTAATACTACTACTTCTACTACTAAAACTGATAATACTACTACTACTTCTACTACTAAAACTGATAATAATACTACTACTACTACTACTACTACTACTAATACTAATACTAATACTACTACTACTACTAATACTACTATTAATCATGATAATAATAATAGTAAATACCAATGATTATAATGCTAAAGCTCAAACTGATGCTAATACCTACCATGTTAATACCACTTTAACAACTACGACTGATACTGCTTCTATTGTTCACCTCTGATTACTTATTCTCGTAGACTGTTACTATATTTACTACAGATTTTTGTTTTCGCTTCGATTGCCATTTTGCTATTTGGTTACTGATAATGCCTATGCCCTTTACTAATATCCCTATTCATAGATTTAATCCAGATGATTAGGCCTGCAGTGTCATTTTCCAAAAAAAGGTAGCCTTTTTGAAAGTTTGATCCTGATAAAAACTAACAAATGGTTTAAATGCCAATCTTTCGACTCTTTCTTTTTTAAGACTGTAAACAAAATCTGTCTCTAAGTGTATTGTTCGACATGTTTGCATGGTCGTTGAAATCATTAAATTGTTTTTCTTGCCAGGAATATAAGAAAATATATCCCTAAGTTTATTCTACCAATGATCAAATAGTAACGCACATGTAATGTTTCCTTTTCCAAAAAGAATGATAAGAATTTTGTTCGTACCTCAATACGAGGGGTCATACAAATCATAATTAGAAACACATGACAGGAAACCTGATGTCAGAAAACATGTATTACATATGTACTTTCCATGCCATGCGGGTGATTTTGCAACATGTACACGTATTTCCAAGAGTTCATTAGAAGTATGTTAATTTCATTCACATTTATTCATTTGTTCATGTACATTTCATATGGACAGTTGATTTACTAAACAATTATGTTAATTTAAATGATCATGATTCATGTCTACGACATATTACTTGTGGTGTCCCG